TTATCAACACTATATTGATCAATCCGGTCATCAAACAGCCAAAATTATTAGCATCAGAGAGCAGTGAGACGTCATGACGCATGATAACTGATGTCAACGCATGCGGATGAACACAACCACAAATTTGATTGTGAAACTATGGATCTACTACAACAGATTAGCTCAAAAATACAAAACGATCTCTGTAAGCACGGAACTCTAATGATAAAAGCAAACTATAGGCACGTGGATAATGACTACGAAGCTGTCAGCTAGTTGGAGATTAGTAGAGCTAATCGATAATCAAACAGGTCGACAGCATAACTCAAGTAATGATGGTAATTATAGATGTTGAAACTCTCACAGCAGTGAAGGACATATCACTTTTACAAACAAGCCAATAACTCTCAGGATCGGCAAATATTCTTCATAAACGTTCTTAAAACTTTAAAATGCTTCACTTCTATGCCAGGTAAATGTAGATATGGTGGTAGATTATGGGACTAGAAAGTCCAAGAACAAATCTGGAAGCTTGGAGACCACCAGACCACTTTCAAACACAACTGTCTGTATGATGTTGCCTCATGTGCTTAATAAAATACATCGATCATAATGCAACATAACAGTCATTGTTTTCGCTTACAAGTCAACCAGCTAGAAGCACATTTCTAGATATCATGTCTTCTGGCACTCATTACTTAGAACATCTGAACTTATGGCAAGTAGTTCCAACTACAGAGTTATTATTCTTGAAGTACTTAGGCTGCGAAATTTCCCACCTATGTAAGTTGATAAATTAACTGTCGACAGTAACGAGTTATATTTCTGAGTGCGTAAATTCTTGATGATTTTTATCGAAGTAATTAGAACTATATTTTTGGAATAAAAACAGTTTCTTATGCTTCGACGCTTCTTTCCAACTACTAGTAATGTAAAACCAGCGTGAAATTAATATAGTTCATAAAGATATTTTTATTGATCAAGGTGAACAAGAAGATTGATTTGACGTGACAAAACGTGAAGAAGGAAGGTAACAGCACCAAATCTATAGCTGACAATATAGTGAAATGTTCAATTATAAATAGATGAGTTAAAAATTCCAAATTAGGGTGCAATAAAATATTCTGCCATTCATTGACGTACGAAAAAGACTATTCATTCGTGTTACATAAAGCCATAAATCAAGGAAGTAAACTGATTTTAAGTCATTGGGCTAAGAGAATGTTTATATTTTGTGCGAAGAAATAACCGCTTGAAAGCAAATCTTCAGGTGGACCTTAGAGGTCTATCAACCATTTCAGAAGTATGATCTTCATCTACATCAGTATGAAGGTCCTGTCAATTGATTGCTGACTCTGTTATCAGAGCAGAGCATGTTCATTATGAACTAACATTAGTTGGATTAACGATGAAAATTTGGCAGCTCGTCGCGGTTGTTTCGTGCTGAAATGAAACTCCTCAGCATTTTGCATCGGTGACCTAACCAGAGATGGAACTCAGAGTCGTCAAGTCTTGGGGTGAACTCGTCAAAATACGTCATAATTGCCCGCTTGTTTAACTAGAAGACGGTTGTTCACAAGCAAACACTGGAATGAGACAGACTAGAGGTTTTAAAGACTTAGTTGGATTAATGAAGAGAATAATAGCCAGAGTACAGTCAAAATGAATGATTTACCACCCGTTACCGAGATATAACAAGTTTTATAACCCTTTTCCCAAAGGAGGAGTAAGAATCGGAACTATACAAACTATATCTAAAAGTTATACAGGGATATATACAATGAATTGCTTGGTGGGTAAAACTCTACCACTGTGATGCAACTAACAAACAGACAGATATATATGCTACCTCATAGTTATCCAGCCGATTCCAGTGGGATAATAATCCTACTTACTATTCCTCATAATTTTCGTTTAATTTACATGAATACATTGATAAAATGCTAATGAGTAACTGTGCCTCCTTCACTTTATAATTTTTATCGGTAACTTCGTTTCAATAATAAATTATCTAACTGATAATTGAGAATCCCACTTCATCGCCTCCTATCTTAACCTGAATTCAACTGAGGTGTTATATCATATTCACTTTAGACCTTCTAACAACCACTCGCTACTATTGACTAGGCAGTCATGCAACACTACTTACCCCCACTGGAAGATAGTTTCATATTTAGAGGTTGAATTTGATTAGACTTTATTGAAAATAAGAGTATTTGCTCAAGTCGACATTTTTCTTCATGTCATCATACTATCACCATTATAAGAGAGATTCAATCTATCAAGGTATATAGCTGTCCATTTTAAATACGCCTGGTTAACTAGTTCACTAGTTACTAGCCGGTCCTAAGCCCGGGTAAAGAGGGAGGGTTGGGCATAGGGCTAGCAACCCTACCCCGTAAAACAAATCTAACCGCTAAAGAAACTTCAAAGCACAAACAATTTGGTAATTGGAGGCAGTGTGTTCAGGCACAAAGATATCCACAAAGCGACATGGATTTCACCAGACATCTGGACACACTAAAAATCAAATCGACTTTATCTCAATCTCAAGAAAGTGGAGACGCAGTCTACTTGACACAAGGTCAAGAAGAGGAGCAGATGTAGGTTCAGACCACTCACCATCTAGTGCAAGGAACCTTCCAAATCAAGTTAAAAACCTTCAAGGAAGCTGGTGACAGACCTCAATTCAAGTACAACACTCGGAAACTGAAGGATGAAACTACAAAGGAGATCTTCAAGGCAGCCATCAAGACAAAATGGGAGACATCGAGCAACATCCCTGAATAAACCTGTGTGGAAGAACACTGGAAGTCTTTGAAAGCTATGTGGAAAGAAACCTGCACAACAGTACTAGGAAGGAAGAAGAAAGAAGACAAAGAGTGGAATGGATCTCGACGGATACCTGGAAGCTGATAGAGCAGGGAGAGGAGGATGGTGAAGCAGAAGATAAACCAGTGCAAGGATGCTCAACGACAAGAGGAACTGAGCACAATGTATAAAACACTGGACAAAGAAGTGAAGAAGAGTGCACGCAAAGACAAAAGACACTTCTATGACACACTGGCAAGTGAAGCAGAACAGGCTGCCGGCTGGTAAGAGAGACCTGACAACATTGTATCAAATAACCAGGTTGCTATCAGGGAAGAGATCAACACAGATGAAACCAATAAAAGATGAAGAAGGAAATTTAATTACAAAAGAAGAGAAACAGAAGAAACAATGGGCCGACCACTTCAAGAAGCTCTTGAATCGACCACCACCTGCACTTCGTCCAGAAATACCACCTGCAGCCGCTGAATTACAAGTGAACATAAATCCTCCAACTAAAATGGAAGTGCTGAACACTATAAAGCTACTGAAATGCGGGAAAGCAGCAGAACCAGATGGGATCCCACCAGAAGCACTGAGAACAGACGCAGAGACAACAGCAGACATGCTCACACCACACCACTATTGCAGAAGGTGTGGAAGGAAGAGAAGGTACCTGCCTATTGATTGGAAGAAGGGTTACCTTGTCAAACTGCCGAAGAAGGGAGACCTCAGTGTTTGCAAGAACTGGCGCGGAATCACTCTCCTGTCCACCCAGAGCAAGTAAAATATTAAGCCGCATCATCCTGGAGAGGCTAAGGGATGCACTGGATTCAAAACTGCGACCGGAACAGGCAGGCACGCTTCAGGAAGTACAAATCATGTGCAGACCAAATTTCAACGCCACACTGCGCATCATCATAGAACAGAGCATAGAATGGCAATCAGCTCTCTACCTCAACTTCATCGACTTTGAGAAGGCCTTTGACAGCGTCGACCGAGAAGTAATTTGGAAACTGCTTCAATACTACGGAGTACCGCAAACCTTTATCAGCCTCATTCAACAACTATATGAAGATGCCACATGCCAAGTAATTCACAATGGAAATCTCAGTGATGATGCTTTTGAAGTGAAGACAGGAGTGAAACAAGGTTGTCTACTATCCCCCATGATATTCTTGATTGTGGTGGACTGGACTGGATCATGCAGCAATCAGTAGGGAGCGAGAAGAGGGGGATACGCTGGCTGGACTGCGGAAAAGAACCTAGAAGACTTGGATTTCGCCAGTGATGATTTGTGTCTGATGTCTCACAAACTTGAAGATCTGCAGGCGAGAACTAAAAAGTTGTCAGAAGAGGCAGCGAAGACGGGATTTCAAGTGAATATAGAGAAGACAGAAGTGATGAAGATACCTCACCACCACCATCAACAACAAACTCCAATCACCATCAACGGGAGAAACTTAAAGGAAGTAACCTCCTTCACTTATCTAGGAAGCACTGTTTCAACTACAGGCGGGACGGACGAGGACGTCAAAGTCAGAATTGGAAAAGCAAGACAGGCGTTGATTAGCCTGAAACCAGTGTGGAGATCTTCTGCACTCAGCATGTGGAACAAGATACAGATTTTCAACACCAACGTCAAGTCAGTGCTTCTGTATTGTTCAGAGACTTGGCACGTCACGAAAGTGATTTCCAATAAACTACAGACATTCATCAATAACTGCTTACGCTGGCTCGCTACTGAAGATCAGATGGATGACCAGAAAGAATAAGCAACAAGGAGCTCTGAGAACGAACCAATCAAGAACCTATCACCCAACAAATATGCACTGGAAGGAAGTGGAGATGGATTGGGCATGCACTGAGAAGGCCGACTGAGGACATCACGCGTCAGGCCAGGTACTCGAGTGGAATCCCCATGGGAAGCGACGAGTTGGGTGTCCGAGGTGAGGGTGACATGGAGGAGGTCGTGGGAGGAGGAGATGAGAGGTTGTGGTCTGTCGTGTAGCCAGGTTCAAAAGATCTCAGAGAATAGAGGTCACTGGAGACGTGCTACTGAAGCCCTATGTTCCACTAGAAACTCAAGGGACTAATAATAATAATTTTGACTAAATTTTAATGCTTTGGATTATTGGAAATTGAACATTTCTCATATTTTCTCTGAAAAAAAATATTTAGAATTTAGAAAGAATAAACTGAGAAAAAATCGAAGTCTTCATCGCCTGTTTTTATAAATAAAAAATGAAAAATATCAAATTTAACACTCACATGGTTGATCTTAAAAACAGGGGAAAAAAACAACAAAATTATGCTAATATCTATACTATTCTTCTATACTAGTTCAACTCAATTTGGATTGTATTTAAAGATGTAACGTTTTAGTTGAATAGGATGATAAGTGAAAAATTATGGATCATTCCTTCATCTGACAGTTGTGATGACTGAAGTGAAATTAAGATTTGGTTAACACTTCAGTCTCTAAAATCACTTGACCAAATAATTGTTCAGCTATTTAGAAATTGATGATCTAAATTATACTGCCATTCAGGTTTCGTTTCAATTCCAGTTATATTTATGTTACATAAAGAATAATTTATCAACCAAGACTATCTTAGACAGTTTCATCAGTGAGAGAATATTTTGCAGATAGTTATAAACCACATTGAACAGATATGCTTTTTAGAACACTATAGTGTACAACCACACCGTATTCCTTTATATAGATGGTTAGTTATAAAAAGCAATAAAGAAAAGCATAAGAGGGAGACAAGACTTAGGAGTGAAACAAAGAGTTTTGTGTAGAAGTAGACAATAGCGATTAAACATAATTGATTGATAAATGTATTTGTGCCATAATAAATCATTTTTCATTCTGCATATGCATTTTCCTTGAACGATGCTTTCAGACATCTTTGATACACTGATTACCATTTCGTTCCACAGTCTTTTGCCTGATAGATGACAGTTTTGTGAGAAACAATCAACTTGTATGAATGATTTAAAAGCATAAATGATGAACATCTAACCACTTCAGTCAGAGTAGAAAATAAGTGCAATCAGCTAGCTTACTACTGTATCATAAACTTCTCTTGGAAACTTGATAATATTGAATTTACGAAAATACAACATTCTACGGAAATTTTATTACCTGAAAAGCAATAAGATCATTTATATGCAAGTGTCTTTAAGATCACATATATGCATGCAATAATGCAATTCTGAGGGAAATAAGATCGTATTTGCAGTTTACCATATAGTGTCCAGTAAAAAGCTTTTTCAGATTCAAACATACTATTACTTCTACACGAAACAAATGAATAGAGAAGCTGATCACCTTTTACCTTTCTTTTGAATAAACAAAAAGTAAGTTAAACATCATTTACGTCTAAACAACTGATTGTATTCATCCACGTGTTCTGAATATGTACACAACTGTCTGGTGTCACATCACGTTTTCTTGTAAAGCATTCGAAGATGAAAATGAACTCAGTTTAGCTTCGAGTTACAATTTTATGAATACTGCCTTACATCTGTCGTTTGATCGACTGATGTTTCTTAAAATGTAGAGAACAGATTTATTAAAAACAGAGAGGAATTACATCGGCTTAAGAACTTGATTTTAAAGAAGCTTTTGTCATGCGTCGACATCAGTCAGACAACCCCTAGAAGCTAGAGATCACTGGGAATACTTAACAGCACATACCCATGACTTTATATGGATGTAAATCTTGGACCATCAAGCTTCTTGATTCCTGTCAAACACTCAACTTCTAGGATGAGATCTGAAGACCTGAGAATTATCACTTCTGTCCGTTCGTGAAACGGTTTTCCACTTTCATCCAGGGAATGCTGGATTCAAATCCAATTTCCCTACTTCTGTCTTTGTAATCACGTAGTATCACATGTTGTCACACAGAAAGTATGCTACATAAGCTAGATCGTTGTTGCATTCGGTGTTTCAAATATCGATGTAACAGGAAAAAGGTAAGCCTTTCAAGAGATCCACTCCACGAGAACTAAGTTTCACAGCCAGCTTCGTATTGGCTGGAAGATAAGTTTGATTCATTCGTTCATTCATTCCGAATCTGAAGAATTGGTATGTCTGACTCACTGGGAGAAGAACTAGAATTTCCGGTGTCTACATTCAGCAAAAATGGAAAGACAAAAACGTGTTCTGATAAATACTGACCGCAACGGGACACCCATGAAAGATTTGTCAGAGTAGATGAGAAAACTGTTTTTGAATGCAGAATTCAATCGTGATGCAGTGAATGACACGCCAAAACGTAAGTTAATAAAAGCTGTTTGCAGGACATTCTATGCTTAAACTCTACAAGTCGCTTATACTAGCCGTCTGATAGTGAACATATGTTTGCAGAACGAATTGTCACTACTTGCTGTCTCAATGTACTTGTCACTTCACCAACTTCGACAACAGCACGTTTCAACATAGATCTGTAAAAGTGACAAGTGTTCACATCTCATTGCCATAAAGTGTACGCATTTAATGAGTTACTTCGCTGTGATTATGCAGCTTCTGAAAAAGATATCACTGCAAACAAATTCACCCATTAAAAGTTTGCTTATATTTTGACTCAATGAGAATATTAAAGTTTCAATATGAATTTGCTGAAGTTCAGTCCTGTAGCACACTACAACTGACAGAAAAGCATATAAACACCAGGCGGAAATTAGATAATGAAGTATATAAATGTATTCATTCCTTTGTAGATTGTTACTTTGCAACTTGAAAGACAAACAAATAGAGAAAATGATAAACGTTTACCATACAGAAAACAAAAAGTAGAATAAAATTATCAACTATTTTCTCCGAAAAAAATGTTTCTTTTGATACCATTAGAAATTTTCGGAAAGAGAATTATCGATTGCATCATAATGGAAACTCAGATGAAATATGAAAGTAAATTTTTCAATCTAGAACCTGGAATAACGTCATAAAAGTAAGACTAGTAATTTATCTAAAAATTCATTGAAACTAAAGGATAATTCTCTCCTTCTAAGTTATCGAGAAGAAAGTGGATTTTAACTCACTAAGTAAATGGACATTGACATGAACCGGTCAATGGTGAGTAACAGGATAGTCTATCAATGAAGACCCCACCTTCAGTAATGAGTGAAACAGGTTGGAACTACTGCAACAACGTCAGTTTCTTCACTGTTGTATGTGCACGCAATCTAAGAACTAGGTTCTGAGCCTTATGCTACACGCTTTTTGACATCTAACACATAAAACTGTCATCCGTTTACCTGTAGACCATATAGTTTCCCAAGAAATGGTGTACACCATAAACGTGGTCTTAAGCAAAGTCCGTTACCTGCATAGTAATTGTCAGCAGTCTCTCTTATTGTTTCCCCCTTACTAAGGGAAATTTGTTCACACCTCTTGCCAGTCTCATTAGATGAATCTGCAGTCCCAGTGTGTTAGAAAGACAAATTTGTTTTCTAAAGAACATCTTAGTTGAAAATGGAAAATGAATAGAACCCAACAACCACGCCAAGAAAGACACTTTATGTCAATCAAAACTTCAAAGATGATTCTGTCCTTAACACTCTAAAAAGGTGGATATCACAGCTCTAAGGAGAACATTTTTCACACCAACCCGGAGACCTAATGTTCTCTTGTCACCCAACGATTTGTAACAACTCAAAGGAAACACTTTCATATCTGATCCCATCTATGTGCATATATCAACTCACCTGATTTTGTGGAGCCAGATATATAGGTCATTTAGTGTAACTGTTATCCAAAAGGGCTCAGGAGCACTACCTCATTCGGTTACAAAAATGTATCGATGAAGCGATTAGGTGTGCTGTAGTTGAACACATTAAGAACACGAATGATGCTATCTCAAGAACCTCCTTGTTTAAAGCCATCTTCGTAGCGAAAGGCAAACTTCCAAAGGCTGTATGTCTTCGTATTCCCTGCATCACCGAAGCTCTGTTTACTCAAAATGGAGTTATCAACCCCTTCTCCCTTCATGGTCTTAGCTTTCAATCTTTGAAATCATCTCTCCCCTCACCCCTTTTTCTTCTGTTTTAAAACTATTCACCTCTTTAGTAATTGACGACTAGTTCTTGTTGCGGTGCTCTTTCTGATCACAGTTCGGTTTCCCATTATGTTATCATATCACAAAACCTCTTTTCCAAACTGATTTCGGTTAATATTCACTATTCATCACAGCTTTTTAATCTTTAGATTTGAAAATAACTGGCTATTGTAGAGCTTTGAAAATGAAAGCGCCAAAAAGAGATTCTTAGCTTAAGTACTTGTTCTTCCTTCACATACTAATAAACTCTTACATCGATTCTATCTTTAAAGGATCGAATTTGAAAACGGACTATCTTCTTTGGTTAGAAGTAATAAATATTAAAATCTACTTCATCTGAACCTTTCACTTCCTACTGCCTATCATCATGATACATTTACACTTTTACAGGAACACTTCTTGTGGGTTTGTTGCCTTAATACCGTATAATTACAGTTAAATTGGATCAAACTGGATTATACATTGATAGTTGATTAGCTAGACTGAAAACACTAATGGTTAAACCCTATGAACCCCAATGACTGTGAAAATATCCTCACCTTTTATCTACCGGTCAGTCAGTTTAAATAGTTTCCTCTTTTATGTAACCAGCCGTAGCCTATATACTGCAATATATTCATGTTTGTTTGCACTGAAAAACAATAATCGCTGTTATTTTGAAAAGAAAATCATTTTAACCTGCGTTGTGTGTACACAGCTTCAACGATTGTTGACATGAATCAAGTTCAGTCGAAAACTTATCATTAATTTTTTCTAAATATGCCTCAAACACTAAACTGGAATGTTATATTAGCCGGATTAAATGTCAAAGTGCAACTCAAACAACAAACAGGGCTAGCACAAAAGACTGACCACTATGATTCCAATCATTCCAGGTTAGTATCTACAGATTTGTTTGTGTAGAAACCAAAATAACAATATAAAGACATAAGCGTAGAACACACGTCATGTGCTAAGAGGGATGATAGTTTTTTCAAGCCTTAACTCAGACACAGAATGCCTGCTTAGAAGAGTATTTTGCATCCATATTCGAGAAAAAATAGCTCTCTGGAACTAAATATTTGACGTTGACATTGGTTCACCATATTGTTGCAGATGTTGCCGGAGAAATGAAACAACGACAGGTGCTCTTAATGTTGTTGTTAGTTATTTGTGAGGAAATCGACAGAAAGCCCTAATGCTTATTAGTCCTTGTCTGCAAAGGATATCACCAACCTTGATGGAACTAATGTACCCCATGGAAAATCTGGATCCTAGGCTTCCGACCGATTGTCTCTAAGCAACTAACATCTTCCACCCTGATGATGAGACTTTAGGCTTGGTAGCCACATTTCAAAATGTTCGACAGAATTCGATCAACACCCAGGACTAGACATAATGAAATTGTTTGCTCTCCAGTAGCCAATCAGTGTGTCACATATGTTCCCACCAACTGATATATCCTGCGGAAATGATATCTTATTATCGGTATAGTATGCAAGTAGCTATACAGCCTTTTGCTTAGGATTAAAGCTCATTTACAATGTTGCCTTACAAATTAAAATAAGAGATCTTCTCTCCAACACTATTCAATACAATGTGCTGAGCTCCGATTTTGGCAGTTTAATTTAGTGGGGAAAAACACTAAACTTGAGGTGCATGTGTTTTTTCTACAATAATATGTATGTCTTCGTGTTCTTTCCAACGATGAAACTCGTGAGGTCACGAGGCCAAATTATTCTATCCAATAAAACAACGGAGAATAACAAGTATGTTGATAGTAATGACTACTACCCGTTGTACAAGAAGTGGCTATGGTTGCTCCGTGGCATAATGGGAAACGCCTTGACGTTTGAAGCGATGCGTACGTGGGTTCGAGTCTTAGTGGGGACAACATCACTTGGGTGCAGGTACATCCAGCTAACAAGTCCCGAATAGGACGTAACGCGCGTCCTGTATTCTTCTTCCAGCCACAACCAACCAAATTATCATAAATAACATTCAGGCAATATCGAGGCATCCGCACAGGAGACCATACGCCAACAGAGGTCGAACAATTTGATCCAACAAAACAACAGAGAATAACAACTATGTCAATATC